GGTTCAGGGTTCAGGGTTTAGGAGGAGGGGGGGGGGTTGTTTTGAGGGGATCAGGGTTTGCATGTCCGTACATACATGCTTCCCGAAACCCTGCACCCCAAGATGCAGATCCTAGAGCTCCTGTTCTTGGATTGGAACTCGGATGCATGCTTGTTGCTACTGCAAGTTGCTGAAAGTTTGGGACCCTACTACTTGCTGAAGGTACTTTATACGAACCTCCCCTTAAGGGATCTACCTTTCGGGGGTCTGGGTATAGGTGTTTGCTACTTAAAGTTGGTACTCGTTCTCCTCTAGAGCCCCTATACTTGGCAGAAATCCAAGTCTTATCACGGAGGCCCCTGAATTCCACTTGTGTGAAACTCTACGGAAGCCCGGGACCAATAGAATTGCAATTTCGCTAGGGTTTAGGGTCAACAACCAAACCCGATTGGAATCAAGCCCGGAACCCTAAGCAAAAGCCCCCAAACCCTAAACCTCAACTCGACCTTGCGGGACTGGGCGCCCTGCCTTCCGATAGCTTTGGCTGAGCATCGGGGCCTGGCCGCGGGGTGGTGCCGGTCATGATCGGAATCATTGGAGACTCTCGCCTCCCACATGGGGATTTCCGAAAATAGGGGACCCTAATATAGTACCCTAAATAATAGGATCCTTATTCTAAGGATCCCAAAATAAGGTACCCAAATTTTCGGAAAGTCCCACATTGAGTAACCTTATAAAGCCTATGAGCCCTAACTTAAACCTTAAACCTTAGTTTAAGCCCATAGGCCCCAAACCCTAAATTTGGTGCTTAGGTTGGGCTTGAGGGATGAAGCTGTAGGGTTGAAGGTGTAAGCGTTTGGGGTTTAGGGTTGAAGGTTTAGAGCTTAGGGCATTAGGGTGAATGTCCCTAAAGCCTAAACCCTAAACCATAAACCCAAACTCTAAACCCTAAACCCTGAACCCTAAACCCTAAACCGGGGCTTATGGGTGTGCGATTGAAGGTTGTGCGTTTAGACTTTCGGGTGTTGGAGTTTCGGCTTGTGGAATCGAGGTTTTGGTATGTAATGTAAGGTTTAGGGTTTAGGGTTTAGGGTTTAGGGGTTGGGGTTTAGGGAAGGGCCTTCATAATTAGAACTGGGTTTTGGCTAAAGGCCTTTGGTGTTCCGGGGTTTCATTGAAACATCCCCTAAGCGAAACCAGGCTGCAATATGGGGGGAACACTTTCCCAAGTCATAGCAGTCGTTCCGGTTACAGCAACCCTACATTCTACTACATATAAGGACCCCTTGGGGGATGAAGAATCTTGAAACATCGATAGTTACTCTTAAATAGCTAGAGTTTAGAGTTTAGGGTACACAGATCTAGTGATACCGGTTTGGGGTTCAAGGCTTCAGGTTTTGGGTGTTGATCTAGAAACTACCCCTAGAGAACTGCAGAAACATATAGAGACCTTGTAGTAGCCCTGGTTGAAACGTGTCATATGCCGTTGCAGAAGACCAACGAGTTCCGCAAATCCTGCAAGTTTGTGGAGGTGCTCGGCAACCCGAGGCGCAAGAACGATCCTACATACAAAGCACTGGCCCTGAAAGCCTATAATCCTATAATCCCCAGACCCTAAGCCCTAAACCCCAAGACCCTATAGACCCCAAACCCCTATACCCGAAACCCTAAGCCCACAACCTCAACCATAAAGCCCTGCCTGGGTCGACCAAAACAAACCAAGGACGCCAAACCAGGACCGGTGAGAGAAAACTCAAGGGTTTAAGGATTGCTGGGGCTTGACTTGGCTAGGTGATTTAGGGTTTAAGGTTTTAGGGTATTAGGGTATGAGGTTTAGGGTTTAGGGTATTAGGGTATGAGGTTTAGGGTTAGGGATTTCGGGCTTAGGGTTTAGAGGCTTTGGTCTTTATCATGGATTAAGGTTTAGCACCTCCGTGCAACTCAGCGCCAAGGGTTTATTAAGCAGACCGAAGAGCCTAAAATGGCCTCCCCGAAGCCGAAAGTCCTAAAAGTAACATAGAAGTTATGAGAATTAGATGAAGGTGGGAGTCTATCACAGCATATAGAACTGCCAGGGGCTCTAAGGCAACTCGATTCTGCATTAGTTCGACTGCTATGTCATGGTATGAAGCTGTCTTCGCATGCTGTGGCGTTTAAGCTGATGCCTCTAAGGCTAGGCTTTAGAGTTTAAGTTTTGGTGTTTCGGGTTTGAAAGGCTGTAAACCTCGTTGGGGTCGGTTTGGGGTTTAGGAAAGCCCTCAGCCCTAATCTCGATGACCTCATGGAGCTTTCTGAGAGAACCCAATACCCCTTCATCAAGGAATAAGGTTTAGGGTTGAGGGTTTAGGGTTTAGGGTAAGGAATATACATGAAATTATTAGGGTCCTTCATAGTTTAAGGTATATTCCTTAATTAAGGTATAAGTATTCCTTAATGAAGGGCTATTGGGTCCTTCATATTATGGTTTAAGGTACTTTCCTTAATTAAGGGGTATTGGTTCTCTTGGTATGGAGCTCTTTGAGGACTCCAACACCGGCAAGTCGACACTTCTGAATGCATTGCTGGGACAGAAGCTGCTTCCCACGAGTCGCTGAGATGCAGCGGGTATGGGGGGTCGCTCCGCTTAGGTTCACCTTCCAGGATTTCGCCTTGCTCCCCTGAGTTTATCCAGATAGCCCTTCATCAAGGAATATGCCTTAAATTATCAGTGGCTTCACAAGATCTACCCCAAGAGGAACCCGAGTTCCAAAGACGAGGCCCCCAACCCAAACTCCAAACTCCCAGCCCCAGTTTCATGCCTGTCAGGTAGGGGCCAGGGGTCTTCTTGAGTGGAGTGACTTTGGGATTGGACTCTTTAGGGCCGAGCCATCTGTGCTTCGCGCAGAGGCGCTACTCTAAGCCAGAGGCGGGGTTCTGGTTTCTTCTCCTTAAACTTAAACTAAGGATGAACTTTATTTTATTGCCATTACCAGTATCTTGTTTTCATTGCCGTATCTAGTATAGTAGTACTAGCAGCATGTCCTTATAAGCTTGTATAGTCTCTATGTAACTATGCTATTGTACACCTTCAAACTTCAAGCCCTACGCGACTTCAATTCAGCTTGAGGCTGCAAGGATTGGACACTTGGCTCCTAAGAAGATCGAAGCTTCGGGCCAGACGTGTTTCGGTTTAGGGTTTAGGCGGTTTAGGGTTTAGGGTTTAGGGCTTAGGGTTTAGGGTTTAGGCGGTTTAGGGTTCAGGGTTTAGGGCAACTTCCCCAAGAAACCACGACGGCCGCATGAGGTTCAGGGTTTAGGGCTTCTCGGCCTTCAGGTTTGGGTTTAGGGATTTATGGAGTCAGGCTACAAGTCTTGCACGTCGGCCATCACGAACGTACAGCTCCTGCATCTTGGCCGCTCGTTTTGAGGGCTCAGGGTCTTGAGTGAAGGGGTCTTGCTTCGGGTGCACGTCCTGGAAGCAGGGAGCCCAACACCACGTTTGGAGGGCCTGCTCTATTTCTTAGTTTGCCAATACCCAACCTCTTAATTTAAGAGCCTCCGGCTCAGGCCGCCGACCCCGTGGGCGACAGACC